AAGGTCTAGAAATTTACCTATCCTGAATTTCACATACAGGTGGGGGTGGGGGTGGGGGAAACTAACAAGAACAACAAAGTAACATAACCTAGTATCAGTCTGTATCAACCTAGTGAGAAAAGAAGTAAACTCCTATACCGAGGTCAACTGAAAGGAAATGAAAACTAGAACAAATTTAAAATGGAACAAAAGCAAATGATAAGGCATTAAAACTTAACCTAACAGGATATGCTTTCCAATCCACTTTCCAATGCATTCTACATGATAGCAAAGGGATTCACATCCTAGGTCTATAATTAGAGGAAATTCACCAGAGGCTTAATCCACATGTGTTTCCTCTTCACTAGTTTTTTTTAATGGAACCAACTTTCAAATGGGTTAAAAGAGAGATCAGATGATAAGCTATTGTATTTTAATCTAACTACATCTGCCATAATTGATTTTACTATCACCTCAGTCTGATAAGATTATTCACATCAACTATGATCAAAGGGGAGATGCATTTTTAACTGGTTCTATTTTCAACACTTGATGACCTAGACATTATTTTATATGCTACCTGGAATTTAGATGTCTTCTCAATGTGTACCCAAATTGGAAAGTCCACTAGGTGACCTTAAAAACACCTGTTATAGAACATAAGAAGTGATCTAGTCCTTTGAACTTCAAGTTGTATCAACATAATGAGAGATGAGGTAGACTAGGTCATGCTCACAAAGCAGCCACTAAAGTGGAACAGGATATACAAGGAGGTACCCCCCCCCCTAAAACTGGTATTGTTCCCCTCAAAGCCATATATTTAATTTTTTTTTTAACAAAGCAACTTTATCACCTGCAAAGTACTCTTCATTACACTTAATACATTTGTCAAATCTGCAATTCCATTCTTGGGAAAAATTTTCAAACTCATCTGTTTGGATGGCTGACAGCACCTTTCTTGTTTTTCCTTCAAATCCTCTCTGTGTCACTGTCCTTTCATGTTCCTCTGCATTTTCAGAAACAAAAAGAAGCTGCACGGAGTGAGTTCAGGTGGGTAAGGTGTGGGGGGCAAGGGAGCCATGCTGTTTTGTGCCCAAAACTGGTGCAGTGAGATGGATGCATGAACAGGTGCATTGTTATGGTGGCTAAACCTGTCCTTGGTCTGCCATAAATCAGGCTTTTTTTTTGTAGCACACTGTTATGCAATCTTTTCAGAACTTATAAATAGAAAGCTCATGATTAACAGTCTGACCTGGTGGAATGAACTTCAAATGCACTATGAGTCAACATTTTTATCCGTTCAGGAAGTTGACAGATGTTCCAGAATGAGGTTTGTCATCAATTGAAATTTCAATTTTTTGAAATGAGAAAACCACTCATACACTTGAGTTTTTCCCATAGCACTATCCTTGTAAGCTGTGTTCAATATCACAATGGTTTCTGCTGCATTTTTCCAGAGCAGGAAACAACATTTCACAACTGCACACTGTTCTCTTAAATCAGCCATCACAAAAAAACTAGGTTCAAGGGAAACTGCTTTTATGAAATCATTCACTGTGACAAGAGAGAACCTTTTCATGTGACACCACTCAGTGCACTAACTCAAAGTGAGTTGCTCAATGCCTGCTGAGTGGGAAAACTGAGTACTATGAAAGCTCCATCCAGCAGAGCTTTCTTCCGTTTGTTTGTTGTATTTTTTGTTGGGGGGACTACCCCTCATATATGAACCTTGGCTGTATGAATGGATTTTTTGAGATCACACTTAACCATAAAGCCCTAACCTAAGAACAATCAGTCTTATGACACTGCCTTAGTGGATACTTACCCTCATGAAGTGACCACTGAAGACATAATTGTTAAAGCCAAATGTGGTGGAGAAATAAGATGGCCCCAAGATATCTCTAGGATCTTAAAATATTTTTTTAAAACAAGCAGCCATCTAAGTGAGGTGTCAGCTAAGTCCACATGGAACAACGCCTGTATGATCCAAGGATTGTAAACAATAAAACTCAAGACCAGAGCAGGAAATTGTTTTAGAGATTAAATTCTGAGCACCTGGTTTTCAGAAGAGCATAGAAGAGACGGAAAGCCCAAAATCCATGAACAGAGTAACCAAGTGGATTAAGCTTCTTGGTAAATCCCTTAATGCAAATATACGTAGGTTAAAATTTAACACCATATCATTTGTTTTTCTTTTGACACATATTAAATGTGTTCTAATTTGTATTATTTTATGCATTAATTTGGGTCGAGGTTTCACTGAGTGTGTATGTTTGCTTGGTATGATTTTATTTATAAAAATTCCAGGATAAGTAAATCTTTAGAGACAATAGGGTTATCCCAGGGATTTTTGAAGGGAATTGTCTAGCTAGTAATAATGACTATAAGAATTTTTAAAAAGTTCTATAATTTATTGTGCTAATGATTGTACAACTCTAATATATTTAATCCATTGAACTGTATGAGATGAAAATTACATATCATTAAACCTATTAAAATTATAAAATAAAGATTCTAACCTTAAAAGGTAGTGTGTTTATAGAATGGGGAGGAACAAATTAGGCAAGGAGGATGTGAATGGTTGCATAACTCAGAGAATATAATCAGTGTCACTGAATTATACATGTACAAACTGTTGAGTTGCTGTATGTTTTTGTGTGTATAGTCTCAAAAATAACAAAATTTAAAAAATAATAAAATCTTTTTACAAAGAGTGGTAGTAACTTAATAGGAACAAAATAGTCTCTTTAACAAATTATCTCGGAAAACCGGATTTCTGCATGCAAAAGAATGAATCTCACATCACATTTAGGAACTAACTTAAATTGGAATTTGGCCTTAAGTGTGTGAACTAAATGCCATAAAAGTCTTAGAAGAAATTGTACAAGAATGGCTTTTGCACATAGGCTTGTTTTTTTTATAAATCATTTTATTGGGGGCTCATACAACTCTTATCCATCCACTCATCCTTTGTGTCATGCACATTTGTACATATGTTGCCATCATTGTTTTCAAAGAATTTTCGTTCTACTTGAGCTCTTGGTATCAGCTTCTCATTTTTCCCCCTCCCTCCCTCACGAACCTTTGATAATTATAAATTATTATTATTTTTTCATGTCTTGTGCTATCTGATGTCTCCCTTTACCTCATTGTCTGTTGTCCATTTCCCTCTGAGGGGGTTATAGGTAGATCATAGTGATCGGTTCCCCGTTTCTCCCCGTACTTCCCCTTCCCCTCCTGGTATGGCTACTCTTAATATTGATCCTGAGGAGTTTATATGTCCTGTATTCACTGTGTTTCCAGCACTTATCTGTACCCATGTGCATGCTCTGGTCTAGCCAGATTTGTAAGGTAAAATTAGCGTCATGATATTGGAGAGGAGGAATCATTAAAGAACCAGAGGAAATCTGGGTGTTTCATCGGTGCTATACTACACCCTGCTATACTACACCCATCTTCTCCCCAAGACCCTTCAGTAAGGGTATGTCCAATTGCCTAAAGATTGACTTTGGGCTTCCACTCCACACCCCATCCCTCATTTATATTAGAATTCTCAAATATGACAACAAAATGCCAAGCAAATCATGAGCAGCAATAGATAAAATAGATAGATGACTCCATAAAAATTAAACTTTTCTCATCAGACAAAAAAGGAAAGAGACAAACTGCATACTGAGAGAACACTTTTAGAACCTTAGATATCTGGTACGAGTTCATTATCCAACATATATAAAGAAGTCCTCCTATGACTTAACTGTAAAACATAAAATGATTGAATAAAAATCAAGCAAATAACTTGATTAGACATTTCATCAAAGGAGATATAAATGACCAGTAAACCAATGAAAATATGCTAATTGTCATTATTTGTTGTTGCTGTGTGCTATCAAGTTGCTAACTCATAGTGACCCAATGTAAGAGAATAGGACTGTCCCATAGGATTTCCTAAGTTGTAAACTTTACTGAAGTAGATAACCAGGAATGGCAAATAGAAACAATAAGAATATACCACCATACTCTCACTAGACTAGCAATAATAAAGAGCAATTGAAAATACTAGATGTCAGTGAAGACATGGCAAAATCATAACCCTCATTCACTGGGAGTAGGAATGCAAAATGATACATCCATTGTGGTAATCATTTTGTCAATTAATAAAAAATGTCAAGCATATAAATGAGCAATCCCAACTCTAGGAACATTCTTTAAAAAATTGAAACCAGGAACATAAACACATGTACTGCAATAAATGTTCCTTGCAGAACTATTCAAGAAAATTAAAAAGTGAAAATAATGTAAATGTCCATCAGCAGATGATAAACAACATTTGGTATACTCATACAACTGAATATTATTCAGTCACAAAGAGAAATGAAATCTTCCACACCTCTTGACACTGGGCATTATCTGTCTAGGTCCTTCCATATCTACCAACTTTTAGACACTTCCTTACCTGCCTCAAAAGAAAAAACAATATATTTTGCTAAATTGAGATGACAGAGAAAACAGGCATAACTGGGAATCGTACACCTAAAGTGTTCTATGTGTGAATCAATAATTCTGCCATTTTAGATGATTTCCTTATTAATCATATATATACATCATTTATAGATACTTTTCTTTTTTTTTAAATCCCTCAAACATACTCAATGAAGTTATTTTAATATACATATATAACCTATAGATACTTTTCTTAAAGCAATTTAAGGCTTCTTCATTTATAAGCTGAATTAATATACAAGATACTATTCTTATTGTTCCTTATTAGACAAAATAAGAAAATACAATATCACTAGTGATATATAACCAACCCACTAACCAATCTACTTCTATTGAGACACTTCTCACTCACAGCAACCTTGTGTATGGTTTCTATGGTGACAATATTGACAGAGTACAGTCTCATTTTTTCTCCCTTGGAGTGGCCAGTGGGTTTTCATTGATAACTTTATAGTTAGTAGTCTAGTCCTTTTCTTATTACCAAGCATAGAGATGGTTAATTCCTTAAGAAATTTCCTTACTAAATGGCCAAATCCTTTTCTTTCACTAAGTCACAGACATAACCTCACATAAAAGAAAAAAAGAATCACACAGAAAATATCTAACAATTCTATTTCAAAAGGTCCCAGAATAATAGGAAAATTATTCCCTTAATAGAGTTGCACAATTGACATGTTCAAAGGCATAAAACTAAAAAGATACATGGTGATTTCCTTTGACCACTCCTAAAACATAGACCGTCAAGCAAATTAAATACAACTGCTAAAAAGAGGGTTTAACATTTCCACTCAAATCACTACATGCCTCATCTTCCATCAATCTGCCTGTCAATCTGGGAGTGAGGAGAAAGAAAAGAATTTCTGTCCTCTTTTGCCAAGACTTAGTGTCTTTCTGATCTTCCCTCCCACGTAGATGGTTTCCCCACATAAAAACAGTCAGGTATCAGGCATCAAAGAACAAAAAATCATATCATTGTAAATGAAGGGGAGTGCAGAGTGAAGACCCAAATCCCATCTGTTTGTAACAGGACACCCTCTTACTGAAGGGTCACGGGGAGGAAACGAGCCAGTCAGCTTGCAGTGTAGCAACGATGAAACATACAACTGTCCTCTTCTAATTATTGAACCCCCCCACCCCCCACTATCCTGATCCCAATTCTACCTTACAAATCCGGCTGGACCAGAGGATGTACACTGGTACAGTACGAACCGAAAACACAGGGAATCCAGGACAGATGATCCCTTCAGGACCAGTGGTGAGAGTGGCGATACTGGAGGGTGGAGGAAGGTGGGGTGGAAAGGGGGAACCAAATACAAGGATCTACATATAACCTCCTCCCTGAGGGATGGACAGCAGAAAAGTGGGTGAAGGGAGACATTGGACAGTGTAAGATATGACAATATAATAATAATAATTTATAAATTATCAAGGGTTCATGAGGGAAGGGGTAGCAGGGAAGGGGGCGTGGAAATGAGGAGCTGATACCAAGGGCTTAAGTGGAGAGCAAATGTTTTGAGAATGATGAGGATAATGAATGTACAAATGTGATTGACACAATGGATGGATGTATGGATTGTGATAAGAGTTGTATGAGGCCCCAATAAAATGATTTAAAGAAACAAAAACAAAAAAGCTGTCTACCATTGTCATATGATACAGCAAAGTTCTGCTATGAACTGAGAATAGGTACCATATATATCTAAATTCAATCATATACATTTGTAACATTAAATATACTTATTAATAAGCGTTGTAAATCAAGAACTATTTACCACAGTGTGTCATCAAATCTTCATGAAAATCCAAAAGTTGGTCTCTGATTTCTTCAGGACATGGACACTCACTTTTATCATCCTTAAAATTGAGAAGCATATTGATCTGAACATTTGAAAAAGCAAGAAAGAAGAAAAACAGAGGAGAAACAAAAAGTAAATTCAGGAATGACACAACAAAGATGCTTTTTTTCCATAATCTGTATGTTAATATAAAGAACTTTTTGAGAATATGCGGCAAAGAAAAAATATAAATATAATTGAAAGGTAGTACTGGTTAGTAATGATGTTGTTGCTATGACCAATAAAACAAAAAGAGCGAAGCTCTCAGTGGATTTACTTTAGATGCTCTCCTGCTAAATTTATGAATAAAAAGAGAGATCTGTTGGTGGTACATATTTTCCTTTAGGAAAAATTTGTAAACGTGTTTGTTTTTTATATGATTTTTTAAAGTTAAACATTTGTTTTGAGATAATTATAGCTCCATATGCTGCTTTATGTAACAGTAGAGAACTTGTACATCTTTTAGTGAGCACTGGCATCACAGAGAATACAGTGCTTGGTTGCTAACTGAAAGCTCAGAGATTTGAACAAACCAGTCAGGCGTGGGGAGAAAAATCTAGCCATCTGCTTTTTAAAAGATTCCAGCTTTGGAAATTCTATTGGGGTAGCTCTACTATGTCCTTTATGTTTGCTGGGAGTTGGAATTGACTCAGTAGCAGTGTGTATGGTTTTTAGAACGCACTCTTGATCAAGTTTCCCCAATGGTGAAATCTTATAAATCCCTAGTATAATATTATAGCAAGGATATTGGCATTGATAAAGTCAAAACATAATACAACCCCGTAATCACCAGGATCTTCCTCCTGTTGCTCATTTACAGCCACATCCACATCTTTCTTATCAGCAATTAACTCCTGAAAATATTCTCTTTTTGCATAATTTTGCTATTTCAAGAATCCTACATAAATGAAATCAGCTTTGGGGATTGTTTTTTTTCACAGTTTAATTTTATAGAGCTTCATTTAGGTTATTTTTGTATCAATATTTCACTGCTTTGTGATGTGTGGACGATACCTTGAATTGTTTAACATTAATACATCGAAATAAATTTTCTCTTACAAATAAAGTTGATATGGATATTTTTGTAAAGGTGTTTGTGTGGCCATAATATTTAATTTCTCTATGATAAATACTCAACAGTACAACTGCTTGGTTATGTTTGCTGTTTTAATGAGACGTTGTGGAGTTGATAGCTGGAACCAGGAGGCCTGATTCTTTCATACGTGAAAGAGCAATGTGTGAGTGATCCAGAGAACTCATGGCTCCAGAGGAATTGATATATCTGTTTCAGGCATATGACAGAGGTTCTTTTGTATTTCAGGGAGATCTGTAGTTGGAGGTGAGCAACAAGAGGAAGAATCACAAACAGGGTAATCAATCATTGGCAAGGTGGTAGTAGAGGCACCTGTGCTTTGGGGGTTTTTTTTTTGTTTTTTTTTTGCGGGGGAGAGGAAAGAAGCAGGGGTCTGGGGAGAGGGGAATAAAACAGAAAGCTCCTAGCATTTAATCTTAGAAACTTAGGGTTCCTAATCTGGAAAACCCTGCAATTTTGGTTGCTGGAGACTGCTTTATGAGGGGATATTTTCCCTATCTGGACAGCCTCAGAACTGGCACACTGATTCCACCAAAAGATATGTGACATAAAGAATTATCCTTCATCAAGTCATTCTTTTGGAAAAGAATACAATTCGGTTATTTGGATGAAAATGCATAGTGACTCAATCCAGTTGATTAGTATAGGCTTAATAGGAAAAGGATTCTCATGTAGGACATACTACTTATGATAAAGGATCTATTTTTTTGTATATGAATCTTGAATAAACTAAAGATCAACTGAACAGGAACAGTTTCCTTTTCATTTTTGTTACCTGTTCTTGAGGAGGTGATCTAAATTCCTTCGTTTTCCTGGCTGTGAGCGCAGCTGACATGTTTAAGGCCTGCATAACTTCATTGTACCGGAAGCGCTGATTGTCTTGAAGTTTAGCTACAAAGTCATCTGAAAAGGCTACAATGGCTTCTATTCGGTGCCGGACCTGGCAGTCACAGAGGTATTGAAGTAGCAGGCACATCTAAGAAGATTAAAATGGTACCACATGTGATTTATGAATCTTTATATAATATGATTCAAAAATAAATTGTGGCAGATGCGCTTAGTGGCCTACTTCTCCCCATTGCAAATATAATCCTGCTTTTGCATAGGCAACAATACTTGCAGTCCTATGGACTAAAATATATTTTGTCTAAGCTAATCTTGGCAAATACCTTTCCCTTTGACAGACAATTAAATGACCAGCATCCCTTTATACCTATAGATGCTATGGTCAATGACATACAAAGTGAGACCTCAGTTGTTGAACTCCAAATTTGTGCTTGTGCACTGAAACGATTGAGAACTAAACATATTTTTCCCCATAAGAAATAGTGGAAAACTCAATTATGGTTTCTGAAGCCCTAAAATTACACTTACAAATTCATTTTTCCAGGACTTTACTGTGGAGGGATTTTGCCTTCTCACATATCACTGTCTCAGATAAGCTATCATCATCGAGTTGTTTCTGATATACAAATGAACAGTAACCTTTAAACTTTTTCAATGGTCTGTGTTCTTGGCTAATGATGTCACACTTTTCACTACATTAGACGTTTTAATCGCATCCCCTCCCCCAAATGTTGATATTGTTGACTTAGCCGTGTTGTATTCAGCCACCAAATTTCATATTGATTTCTTTCTTTAATTCTACCTTTAACTTTATTTTTCTTTGACTGTGGTTGTCAGTTTTCCTATTAGCTTTACTACTGGCATTACTAACATAAAACAAAGTTATCTAATGAGAATAATTGAGTAATGACAGACATGACATGACTCATAGGATGCAAACTACATGTAAAGGATAATGCGACAGAAAGACATTAAGAGCTAGATCTTTGATGGATCGAGATGCATTGATCTATATCAATTCTAGAACTATTTACCATTAAATTAATTATACAACCTTTGAATGTAATTATTGTATTGCTATTCATGAAATGGTTAGCTTGTCGTTTTCTTACTGGGTGCCAAAAGGATTTATTACTGACATGGTACATTGGTGGAAATATGCCTGCTGGAATATTCTCTGCCAAAGACCAGAAAAGCATTTAAATAGTGTGGTATAAACACACTTGTTCCAAAAAAACAAAAAACAAAACCTCGTTCCAAATATTAATTTCAAAAACCTACAGAAGTATGCTTCAAAAAGTTTAGGGGAAAATTCCAATATCTTTTAAATCCATTTCCATGAACTTTTTGAAACTCCCCATGAACTATCTGAAGCCACTGCAATATAACAATGTAGCCAAGGTGTGGCATCTTTGCCTCTGGCAGGGCCTCTGAATCCATTTACCTCTCCCCATCAATTTTGTCCCCACCCTGCCTTAATACATTATCCCCTTGGGTCTGGATAAGAAGGGCAAAAGCCTTCTTTTTTTTTTTTTAAATCATTTTATCAGGGGCTCATACAACTCTTATCACAATCCATACACACATCAATTGTGTAAAGCACATTTGTACATTCCTTGCCCCCATCATTCTCAAAACATTTTCTCTCCACTTAAACCCCTGGCATTAGGTCCTCATTTTCCCCTCCCTCCCCGCTCCCCCCTCCCTCATGAGCCCTTGATAGTTTATAAATTGGTATTTTGTCAAATCTTGCCCTGTCCGACGTCTCCCTTCATCCACTTTTCTGTTGTCCGTCCCCCAGGGAGGAGGTCACATATAGTTCCTTGTAATCGGTTCCCTCTCTCCTACCCACTCTCCCTCTACCTTCCCTGTTTCGCCACTCACACCACTGGTCCTGTAGTGCTCAACCGCCCTGGATTCCCTGCATTTTCAGTTCCTATCTGTACCAGTGTAAATCCTCTGGTCTAGCCAGACTTGCAAGGTCGAATTCAAGTCATGGTAGTGGGAGCGGGGAGGAAACATTTAGGAACTAGAGGAAGGCTGTATTTCTCATCATTGTTACATCGCACCCTGACTGGCTCGTCTCCTCCCCGAGACCCCTCTGCAAGGGGATCTCCAGTGGCCTACTAATGGGCTTTGGGTCTCCACTCCGCAATCCCCCCATCATTCACTATGGTAAGATTTTTTGTTCTGATGATTCCTTATACCTGATCCCTTCGACACCTCGTGATCACATAGGCTGGTGTGCTTCTTCCATGTGGGCTTTGTTGCTTCTGAGCTTGATGGCCGCTTGATTACCTTCAAGCCTTTAAGACCCCAGACGCTATACTTTTTGATAGCCGGGCACCATCAGCTTTCTTCGCCACATTTGCTTATGCACCCATTTGTCTTCAGTGATCCATTCGACACCTCGCGATCACACAGGCTGATATGTTGCTCCATGTGGGCTTTGTTGCTTCTGAGCTAGATGACAGCTTGTTTACATTCAAGCTTTTAAGACCCCAGATACTATATCTTTCGCAAAGTGGGTGAATAAGCAAATGTGGTGAAGAAAGCTGATGGTGCCCAGCTATCAAAAGCCTTCTTAAAGACTGGAATTTGCACCCATTCTCTTTCATTTCTCATTTATTTTTCTCACAGTAATCAGGCAGAGAAATCTTCAAAAGTTTGTTACAGTTAAATAAAATTCAAAATCTATCAGCTGACTAGTTTCAGAAAACCGAATCAATTCCAAATGAGCTATCCACTGCTTACCTTACCAGTACTCCCTGCTTCTCACTCTGGAGCTCATTAAGTGGCAACCACACTGGCCTTTTCCCTTTTTTCAGGACTATATGACATGCTATTTATTCAGTAAGAGCAGCTCCTGAAACACCCATCCCCTCCACTTGACCTACTGTACTCCAACTCCTGAAGCTCACCTCACCTTAAAATTCACCAGCTCAGAGGATTGTTCCCTTACGTTTCTTAAAGTATTATAACTGAAAGTGTTATTTGTTCTAGTAATCCTTTTCTTCTTCTTCTTTAGAGCATTTAATGCTGTTGGCAGCATGATATATTAAAGAAAATACAGAAATAAGTTTATATATTTCACAGAAATTGAACATCCCATTGGCGGGGGTCTTTTGTTTCTTTCCTTCAACATCATGGTACACAGGAAGATCACAACCATTTTGGATTGAAGGGATAAAGAAGGGAAAACCAAGTCAATGTCACAACTCTCAAATGGTCTCCAGGTAAACGAAAGAAGTATTATGAAAGAACTTATTTAATTTATAATTGATTTATCCTAAGAGGAACATGTTTGCAGAAATAAAATATTTCATTCTGTGATTCAGGCTTCTTATTGGTACATGAGTATTCAAAACACAGATTTCTGGGAGTAAAATAGGTATTTAAGAATGGAGCAAATGGTTTGCATTCATCTGATAATTTAATGCTTGGTGGTTCAAATCCACCCAGCATTGCCACAAGACAGGTCTGGCAATCTATTGTTGAGATTATAGCCAAGAAAACCTTATGCAGCCATCCAATTCCAAAACAGATGTGGTTTCCATGAGTTGGAATCAGCTCTGTGTCAATAATAATAAAGCATGTCTTGTAACCTTAAGCATTACAGACATAACTAGTATTACAAGGTATATATCTATATCTATCTATCTATCTATCTATCTATCTATCTATCTATCTATCTATCTATATACCTGCAAACATAAGAAGGAGGAAATACAAAAATTGCTAACGGATAGGAGAGGAATAGCACCTGGAAGGACAAAAGCCCACTCACTTCTTCTTCTATTTTCCATCATATCCACACATTCAAACAAACAGGAACCAGCCATACATGCAGACATATGGATATCTATGACACACAAACATATATTTGACCAGAGAAAAGGGCATGACAAAAATCCTAAACTTAGCAGTTATTAACTTATTGTCAATTGACTAAATTTTTAAATTCATTAGTTCCTTTCTAAGTGAAAGCAAATCAAGCAGGCACTTCGCAAAGACCTATAGGAATTCTGCTTTCTGAAGAACGAAGATTATGCAGGAAGACACTCATGCAGAAAGAGACGAAGTAAAAGTTTAATAGTTTAGGGCTTAGTAATTCTGAATTTCAGACTATCTTCATTTCAGATTACCTGCAATTTAACTGGCTCTGGCAGTTTCATTTGGAGCAGGCCTTCCTTCGGCCTCTTATCATCTTTGACTTCTTCATCAGCTCCTTCTAGCTTCAAGTCTTCTATTCGAAGCTCCTTCACCAGCACTATCTTCTCCTCCTCTTCTGGTGTGGCAGCTTCCTTAAACACACTGGGCTCAATCAACTGCAGAATGTGCTTCAAGTCCTCATTGTGGAAGATGCCCATGATAAGCAGGGTATAGAAAAGTTTGATGAGAGGGACAAAGAGGAATTCAGTTGTTCCCCCAACTGGGTCCCGGGCATGAAGGCTACTCTCCTTCACGGCTTCTGTCAGCATTTGGATGGTTTTAGCCTTCAGGATATCTAGGGGAAACTCAGGACTATACTGATAGCATTCGTGACTAATGCTCACAAAACTGGGGGAAGAAAATTGCATCCGAGGCCTGAGAGATGTACTAAGTCCTATCCCAGGGAGACCATGCTTTTTATTCTCATCAGGGAAGAGAGTAATACTCTTGGTTTCTTCCGTCATGGGAACAATAAATTCATTATTCATCATAAGCCTCGCAGTGGCATAGGAGCTAAGATGGATGTCAATTAGCAGGTCATAGTAGCCTGAACGCAGCAACCCAGGCATGCACTTGTTTTCAATGGCATAAAGGAGTTGAGGTTCATCCACATGGCTGCACAAGGCGTGGGCCACCCTGTGGTTCCCCAGCGCACAGACAGCTGAGTAGAGGCGGAGAGTGTGGTAATGGAACTTCAGCAATTCCTCCTGCTCTGTCAATTCTAATATGTCCACTGATCTGTAGATGAGAAAAGAATATTGGTAGTAAGATTAAGTATGGATTTTTATTAATTTAACAGAGCTATTGGCAAATAATTCCCATATCATGTAATTCAATAGTTCAATTACATAAAGAAGAGTTCTACACTAATCACCACAATCAGTTTTAGAACAATTTGTTCATCCTTGTACTCATCGTTATTAGTTCCCCTTTTCCTCTAACCTCCCCTGCAACACCCCCAGGAACTGTAAATCCAGTTACTGTTTCAATAGATTACCTATCCTGGACCTCATATGCAAAAACACATTTAAAAAAACAACTAATCGTGAGACAGAAAAATTGATGAAAAAAACTCACATTAAAAATAAAGCAGAAAACATAAATAACTAGAACAAACATTTTTTAATGTACATCGGAGAAGAAATCTATATCATGTATCTCAAGGAGCTCCTAAAACAGACACTATTAATGACACTTTTACCCATTTGGTAAAAGGAAGCAACTCATTCTGTTGGGAATCAGAATTTATATCCAGATCTTTGTTTGATTGTTTATTCTCTAGCATGCATATTTTACCCATAAAGCATACAAATTATGGTCAGATTGTGCTTAAAGGCATTACTCTTTTAGCAGGGTTGAATTTTAAACATGGTTTAAAATGGTTCTGAGAATGGGGTCTTCCCCAAGACTATTGTCCTTAGATACTCTAAATGTTGACAGAAAAATATTTCAGGGGTCACCTTTCAGCTAAATAGCAAATTCGCTTATAAGATAAGCAATATCATCCATGAATATTGTGCTCCTTTAAGAACTCATCTAATAGAGACTCAATGGTCCACACTGACTCAAAAGCAAAGGCAAGGTGGGGTGGGGTGTGTGAATTACTGGATATGGAGAAACCAGAATAAAATGAATGAGAAAGTTGACACACTTTATAAAAAATATGATCAAAGATCACCAAAGTCACTGAACAACAGTGTAGAGATTGTTAAATAAAACTTAATTTTCTATGTAAACTGAAAACACAATAAAACATTTTTATTTTATAAAAAGAACATAAATTCTCTTACATGTATAGATGTTTTCCAAACTATATACATTTTAGATAGTTCATGTGTGATCATGGAACACTACAAGTAGAAGTTCAATGTATCCATGATAAAGGAATTATTCACTGAACTAAGAAGTTGCCCTTGATGACATATAGACCATTTCTCTATAACAACAGGGATTTTTATGTCTTTATATTTTGTGTGTTTGCTTACAACTGGTCATCTAGCACCAAGAAGCTCAAACAGTGTTTAGGTTTTTATTGTTAGGGTGCGTTTTGGTGACAAATATGTATTAGAGTAGAACTGTGCTCAAGAGGGCTTTCAGAACAGCTAATGATCAAAGTATCTTATTTTAATCAAATAATGCATAAATTCTACATTTGTTTATCAACTGAATCCTCTCCTGAGAGGTATTTACTGAAGTGCACTACATGAATTTTCTTGCATGATACAGAAAAATTTTAGCATCATCATGGATCTTTTGATAGCATGTAATATTTCTTATGAGCATATAAAAATTGGCATAGCACATGTCTTAGATTGGTCTCTCGATAAAGCAAAGCCAGTAAAATTTGTGTGTATGTGGGGGGGGGGGGTTAAAGTTTGTGGGAAAATTCAATTATTCATTTTTTCCACAAACTGATCAATGGTATATGGGTAGCCTACTGTGTCTCTATATCTAATCTATCTATCTATCTATCTATCTATCTATCTATCTATCTATCTATCTATCTATCTATCTATCTATCTATGTATCTATCCATCTCTCTATCTATCTATCTGTCATCTGTATCTGTCATCTATCTATCTATCATCTATCTATAGAGAAAAAGAGAGAGAGGCACAGTGGGCTACCCATTGTGAGGCTAAATGTAAGTTTAGTGGTTTTAACACACCAGTTGCACCTCAGAAGTAAGGTGAGGCTGTCTGTTCCCATAGATATTTAAGTCTTGGAAACTCAAAAGGCAGGGTCTATTCTATCCTATAGGGTTTCTATGAGTTGAAATCAACTTTATGATAATTTTAGTTTTGCCTTAACACACACACACAGTATCATTAATTCATTCTACCTTACAGCGACCACAATACGCACAATAGAAGAAAACCCTGCTGGGTCCTGTGCCATCTTCATAATTGGTCTTATGCTTGAGCCCATTGTTACAGCCACTGTGTCGCTCTATCTGGTTAAGGGCTTTCATCTTCTTCATTCTCCCACTAACAAACATGATGTCCTTTCCTAGGAACTGGTCTCTCTCGATAACCACCCAAAATATACAAGACCAAGACTCACCATTCTGTCTCTAAGGGACATTCTGGTCATATTTCTTCCAAGACTGAGCTGTTTGTCCTATTAGCAGTTCATGGCACTTTCTCCAGAACCACAATTCAAATGCATTGATTCCTCTTTGCTCCTCCTTATTCAATGGCCAACTTTCATGTATAAGGCAGTTGAAATTCCATGGCTTGGGTCCTCAAAGCAACACCCTTGATTTTCAATACGCTAATGAAGTCTTGTGCAGCAGAATTACCTAATGCAACACATCTTTTGGTTTCTTGGCTGTTACTTCCATGAGAATTGATAGTGGAGCCAAGCACAACACAAACCTTGACAAATTCTCCCTTCTTTCCATTTACCATAATGTTATCTACTGGTCTAATTGTTTGGATTTTTGTTTTCTTTATATAGAGTTGTAATCCATATTAAAGGCTAAAGTTCTAAATCTTCATCAGCAAGTGCTTCAAGTCCTCCTCACTTTCAGCAAGCAAAATGGTTTCATCTGCATATCATACATCAATAAACCTTCCTCCAAACCTGATGCCACATTTTTCTTCATCTAGGCCAGTTTCTCTGATTATTTGTTTAGCATACAGATTGAATAAGTATGGTAAAAAGAAACACACATTTCCTGATTTTAAATAATGCAGAATTCCCTTGTTCTATTCACAGAACTGCCTCTTGATCCATGCACATGTTCCTCATGAGTATATTTCGGGAAGTCCCATTCTTCTCAAGGCTATCCATAGTTTATTATGAGGCACACAGTCGAATGACATGGCATAGGCAACAAAACACAAGTAAATATCTAATATGATAGATAGATAGATAGATAGATAGATAGATAGATAGATAGACAGACAGACAGACAGACAAACAGGTTGACCTAGCAACCCAGACTTTGGGGGCTGGCAAACCTAAGTCTGTGACATCAGGCATCAGGATGAAGGCTTTTTCTGATTCATGTAACTGCAGGTGCTGATTAATCCAAGATCAGCAAGTCAGAGAACAGGTTGCTGTGGAGGCTGATGAATCTCTGAAAAGAAGTAAGCTGGCAGGGCACACTCGGTTACAGGCTCTAGAGACCTATAAATTCATTTCTAAAGTTGGCATAAGATGAAGACAAGCCAGATGCAGGAACCAGAACAAGCAGGCAAA